TATATATATATATATATATATATATATATATATATATATATATATATATATATGTGTGTGTGTTTCTATAAAGACATTTGTTATATATAAAACATTTGTTTACTCAATTTCCCCATGCCACACTCTCTGACATCATTCACAAATGATTAGCCTTGGCAAAAGCAGTTGTGCATGTGTTCAGCTAATTTACAGACAGCAGTGACCCTCACACAGCTGTGTTTGCAAAGCACCTTCCTCACTTCCCCACAGTTTTAAAGCGCCGTACAGACGGCTGCCACACCATGAAAGTGTTTGCAAGTGTTTGGGCTTACTTTAGGAACAGCTCAATGTGCACCACAGCAGGGGCAATCTTCTCCACCACGTCAGCAATGAAGTTGAATTTGTACCTTGGGCTGGTGGGGTGTGTAGGACCTATACTAGCAGAAAGAATTACTCATGTTAATAATTCCAATGTATAAAATGATCAAAACCAGCTCTATGTTTTTTTCTGTATTGCAGCTGCTGTCTATTTATGTCTTTTCTGGCTCAAGAGGGCATGATTAGCAAGCACGCAGTGCAGTACTGTCCTGCAGATTCAGATGGTATGCAATGATGATAGTTGGAGAAAGTCTTTTCACACAAAGGAAATGCTCCTCTATAATTGGGTCTAATTTTTGGGTCTAATCACTAGGTGGCTTTTATCCTTGTGCATGCTTGACTTGTGCTGGGTATGCAGTATGTGTATGAAAGAGAATGATGAGAGTGTGTAAATTCCTAGTAATTAGGGCATGTTATTTTCTGCAAACATCAGGGTGGTTTTTCCCTTGACTGCTGTTTCCTGTGACCGTGTTGGCACAGCCATCATTCCTTTGTGTGCACACCCTGGTTGTCCTACTAACCTCAAATTTGAAGTCATTAAAGAATCAAGACCCTTTAAAAACTAGTTTAGTACAGTTTATCACTGAAAAAGTACTACACCTAATGGTCATCTCTTACATTGATATTACATTGTGCAAAATCTGCATTGATCTCTGGCTCTGTTAATGGTTGTTTAACAATTAAAGTTTTGTCTATAATTAAGAGATAGGTTGCAGTCTATTTAGAGGTTAGATGCAAAATGTGCTTAATACAGAAACAATAATGTAAATTACCTAAAATTGTATTAAAGGTTTGGAGTCAGTCATTTTTTAAAATGCTTTTTAAGTCTCTTATGCCCAAAAGGCTGCAATTGTTTGAGCAAGAAAAAAAACGTAATATTATGATATTATTACAATTATATATACAAAAATGCAAAACATTTCTGTGATGTCAAAGCTACACATCTTCAGTGTCACATGATCCTTCAGAAATCATTCTAATATGCTGATTTGGTGCTCAAGAAACATTTCTTATTTTTATCAATGCTAAAAGTTGTGCTGCTTCATTTTTTTTGTGGAAACTGTGATTCATTTTTTTCAGGATTTTTTAATGAGTCGAGAGTTTAGCAGAAAAGCATTTATTTGAAATAGAAATCTTTTGTAAAATTATAAATATATTTTTTGTCATATTTAAAAAAATAAATAAATAAATCTTACTGATCCCCAAACTTTTGAGTGGTAAAGTGTAAATACATAAGCTTATATAAGTAAATATATAAGCCAAATAACATCAATATATATTCTAATGCTTTATTCATGGCTTTCTGGATGAACATATTTAAGCGTTATAATTTGGAAGCTGTGAGAAACCAAAATAAGCATGCAATGAATTACACTCAACTGTTAATCATGAATCAAATGCAACACCCCATATAAAAGCACATTCCAGTAGAGCTGCATCACGGAGCCGTGACCTCTCAGATTTCACGACTGCCAAGTAAGTCAACTTCCAATGGCAATGTGTGCAAATTCATTTAGACAATCACATACAATATTGAGAAATGCCACTCGACCGAAAGTTGGCCAGGCATAAGCCAAAGATGAATGTCCAATAAAAATATGTTCGGAATAGTTTTCGCGTTCATTCTTTCCAGTGAGGAGTGCAGAAGAGACATCAGAAGAGCAGCTGATCACACAATCTGGTGGAAAGATGATGGGCAACATCTGTTTCTAAAGCACTGGTATGCTTAATACAGTGATTGCAAAGGTTATGGTTTTATTTTGAGGTTTTTGACTTAGTAGCTTAAATTGTATAGAATGATAGACTATAATTTATGTGACATTTAATGCTGTAATGATTTGCTGCTCTCCAAATAGCCATGGGCTTTTCTGTGGGTTCTTTTGCTTACAGTTTCGCTGCTTGCCTCACTACCAGGTTATTCACCAAATATATACACCAGTGTGGCCAGTGGCATTGCAGGGGCCAACAGTAACTTATGGGTGGATGATTGCTACCAGACGGACGTCTTTAAACCTGGTTTTGCTGAATCATTTTTTAACAGACCTAAATATTTGACCTAAGAAGCCCATCTCTTGATCTCTTGATCATTTCACCCCATCAATAGCCTTTTAATTCAATTCTAGGTCACCTCACACTGATAACGCGTCACCAGAGAGGTGGTACCGTTTGGGATGTTGGTAATGAGGTCTTGTCCAAAATCAGAGCAAAAGGGCAACTCCATGAGAACCCCACAGGAAATCATACCTGGTCTGCAGAGCACAAAGCAGCCCTATTTTCCAAACTTCTCTGCAGCTGCCTTTTGCACGTCAAGTTTGTGAGGTCACAGTCCCATTTTTCAAAATACTCACAATTGCTCTTTTGGTTATCAGTGGAGTCATATGTGATGGTCGCTAGAGGAGCTCAATGATGTTATCTTCTAAATGCAGTATGACACACAAAGCACTGTGGACTCACGGTGTGTGTGTGTGTGTGTGTGTGTGTGTGTGTGCGTGTGTGTGTGTGTGTGTGTGTGTGTGTGTGTGTGTGTGTGTTACCTGAACTATACTTTAGGGACAAAATTGTCCCCAGAATTGAGGTAAACTGCACTCACACTATTAGATGAAAACAAAACATGAACTGAACTAAGCTGCATAATAAAACTATTGTCATTTGTAGATCTGCCTATTCATAACTTATGAAAATTCCAACATTGACACAGTTATTTAACTTATTTGAATGAACATTGAACTGGTTTGAGTTGAGTAATGACACTATTTTCTATTATACCTGAATTGAATATGTTTTATAATGAACTTTGCAACACTGACACTGTTATTGAATTGACCCGAATCAACAATGAATCAACTTGTCTTGAACTGAACTGCTTTACAGGGATTGAATTCTGGATTGAATTCTTTTGATGAACTTGGCATCATTACCACTGTTATTTTCCTGCTTAATACTGTGATGCTGCTTTGAAACAATCTGAATTTTATAAAGTGCTACATAAATAAATGTGAGTGACTTTACTTGAACTTGACAAAACCTCACTCATATTTCTTTTGTTTTACACTTACACATTGTTTTATTTATAAATTATATTTTAACAGTTGAGAACTAGCCTTGTGCTCAAGGTCATGACACTACATGGTGTTCACACACTGTTTTACTCAAAAACCTGAGTCTACATGTTAAAGGGGTCCTATTATGCTTTTTCACTTTTTCAACTGTAGTTAGTCTGCAATGTTGCTGTTTGAGCATAAAAAAGATCTGCGAAGTTACAAAGCTCAAAGTCCACTTCAAAAGGAGATATTTTATTGAACAGAAAATCTACAACGCCCGCCTCGTTTGGACTACAACCCATATTTTCCGGGATTTGTGATATCACAAAGATCGACGAATGGGACGAGAGCTGGTTGAGCTGCACTAGAGAAGACAACGAGTGTTATCACTATGTCAGAGACTTTCCCAAGGCAGACAAACTTAGAGTGGTTACCATCATCCAGGTTTAAATCGCGCTCAAATTTATTTGATTTTGACGCAATATTTACACTGAAGCTCGTAGGCGGCTATGATAAGGGGCGTGACATTTCCCAACCAGGCGCCGAGTGCTGCCAATCACAGCACACAGTGGCCCAGCTAACCAATCACAGCACATTTCATATTTCAGAAGGCGGGCCTTCATTTGATACAGGAACTATTCCAGCCGTTCATGCCAGACTGGGGAGAGAGGTGTTGTAATAATGTAAAATATGTGAAAAATTATGTGTTTTTCGAACAACCTAGTATGAGAGCCTGTTCTAATACACCTCCAAAACAAAATCAAGACTTTGTAAAAGAGCATAATAGGACCCCTTTAATATGGGACAGCACCTTTTGTGGAATGACCCATAAACATAGGGTGCGACCCCATTTAAATTGCTATGGTTTGGGGTAGGCTTGCCTATTTAAGAGTATTTGGCATTCTAGAAGCTAATGAAGAGATTATAGTCTAATGTCATACATCCCATCCTTCCCTTACCAACATCCCATCCTTCCTTTCCCTCCCATTCAGTGTCTCCATTATTAGGCCATACTATTACTGTATGATACTGGTGATAACTTTTGCTACACCACTATGAATAATTAACAACTTAAATAATTGACCAAAAAAAAAGATTAAGGCAGGCCTGTATTCATTTATGATTTTATAGCACAAACAATACTGTTAAAGTAGCCTATTTCTGTTTAAACCTTTTCAATTATTCAAATTTCAGTATAAATTAATTCCTCTTGCTATACACAAATCACTTACCTTGGTTGCTTTCACAGGGTCCTTTGTGCAGGTTGGTGATGGCGGGCAGACCCTGCTGCAGCGCTTTCCTGCTCACGGCCTTCAGGCGGCAGATGTTACCGTACGTGTTCCCGTCACTGCCGCACACTTTACTGCTGTACCTGCACTGACACACGCCTTTGGACAGTCTTTTTCCAGACGGGTGCTTGCACTCCAGCCCGTCGCCGCAGGGCAGATCGTCCTTGCGGCCGCACGGCTCTCCCTCTCCCTGTGCGCACACCAGACAGCAGTCACAGCGGTCAGGCACATACCCGCTCGGGCAGCTCGGGCTCGGACACTTACTCACATCACAGCGCTCAGGACACTTCAGTTTAGTGTCCGCGAGAGCAGCTTCGACGCAAATAAAAACGACGGAGACCAACAGAATGACCTGCATTTTTTTTCTTTTTTGGTTTAAAATGACAGGCAGTTCTTGGCTAGTCAGTGTCCTCTGGAGATCACCATTACGCATCAGATTCCCAATGCAAAAAGCTTCTTTCAGATGAGATGTGTGCGTTCCTGCAGGATCAGCTGAAGGACCAGTGTGAAATGGTTGTCCCGGGAAGACGAATATGTCTTATCCAAGCCAATCTGATCTACTGCTGCGCGCAAATGTCGCTGATTTCCCGTGCAACTTATTAAAACAATGTATGCGAAGCCTCTAGATGTTTGGTCCTGTTGTATCTGCTGACCATCTCAACATCCTCGAGTGAAATCTGCTTTTCTCTTCTCTCTAGAGGAGGCGGGGAATTTCGTTTACCCCAAAACGCTGTAGTATTCATGGGACGTTCTTTCGAACAGTTCGTTTCAGAGAACCGGATCAAAAATCCGAATCAGCTATTCACACTGCTTTAATTTTAATTAAGGTAGTTGTTGTAATTTCATGTGTTTGGGCTATTTCTGCCTTGATTCGGCTCATAAAAACAGCTTTAAAGTACTTAATTGCAACTTCATCATTACAAATGTGCGAATACTAATTTAAATGCATGGCATATAGAATATCATTTCAATAGAAATGACATTAAGGTATATTTTAGGTTACCGTAAACGCTTGTCAGTACATTCTACAGCATACTTAAACCATATTTCATTATGAAAACAGAAATAATTATGAAATTACTTGTGCTTAAGTGGGACAAAACACTCTTAAATTCAACCAATTGCATTTAATATAGATTTAAAGTGCCCCTATTATGTAATTTTGATTTGGGAGTCTCCTACAATAGGATTGCATGCATGCAAGGTCAAAAAACGCTGGAAATGGCATAATAGGGGCACTTTAAATTATAACACATTTGAATTTAATTGCAATTAACATGCAGTTAAATGTCCGAGAACATACATTCAGTTCACACTGTAAGTATGCTAAAGTGTACTTCTTTTTCACAAAGGAACCGTAAAGATCTGACACAAGTAACTATTCCTTCACAAACATTCACACATCATCATATCAGCTTACTCCAGTGCACTATGTCTGCTGATTGTCCCCTATTTTTTCTGGACTGAGTTATAATGAACTGCTTGGATAGTACCAACAGATCTATAGTTAGGATGAAAACCAAAAGAGTAGAACTGTGATTGTGGGATCTTGACAAGGGCTCACTAGTACTCAAGGTTTGCATTGGTATAAATTACCTTGATACATTATATTGTAAGCAATTAAATATTAAATCCACTTTTTATTGGTGACCAGGGGGACACGGTCTCTTTTTAGCACATACATCTGAATGCCGACCGTACAGTGCCAGTGGATTTGTTTTCACTGAACTTGAAGGGTTTTGGACCAAGTCATGTATTTCACTAGGCATGAACATGTTTATTTAAAACTATAACTCCTGTCATTCTCTGCACTTAGTACAAACAGAACAGCCCTTGTTGAGGTAAAAATGTGTTCACTGACATCACTTGCATGTGTCAAACGAAGGTAATACGATTTTACAGAATGGAAAACCAGAAACAACTAATTCTAACATTTTAGACAATTATTTTCCATAAGAAAGAAAGAAAAATAGTATCTGTTTTTTGGTTACTTCCAACATGGGATATTGAGCCAAACGGACAATGCCTGAAAGTTGTATTGCTTACACTCCAGTAAACACTCGCTGGACCAATCAACATGTCTCATGAGTCAGACATTCCGTAAATCAACTAATATACATCACATCCAGCAAATAAAAGTAAACATGGGAAATTCACACACAAGTAAAATCAAAAGCAAGCATGGAAGTTTCATATCCCATTAGAGTCCAGCTCTATCTTGTTGCCCCAGTTATTGTGTTTTTGTACTGGGCTGTGGTCCTGAAGCTGTAGTCTGGTGCCAGGTTGATACGACGAATATGGAGATCATTAGCGAAAGCTCTGGCTCGCTGGTAGAAAAACAGCGAGAGTTCACGGTCCATGAGACAGTTGTGATAGATGGTGGCCAACTGAGTGCACAGCTCTAGCTGGGACCTCTTGTTCCCCAGATCCATAGCAGCAGCCAAGGCCAGGTGATAATAGCCAGCAGCATCAAATGGGTCCTTGAATACAGAGGGAGAGAAGATTTACAATATTAGTAGCTATTGTTTTATTAAGAGGTTAAAATAGTAGTCATATTGTTCTATTAAGAGATTCAAATATTAGTCCTTAATAATCTGAGCTATGTGTGTGTGTGTTTTTTTTGTTGGTTTGTTTCTTTTGGGTGATGCCTTGTTATTTTTGTATTACAGTGAAAATTCAATAAAAATAATTATTAAAAAAAACAAAAGAGATTCAAATATTACTCCTATTATTCTATTAAGAGATTAAAGTATTACTTGCTATTGAGTTTAGTGCTGTGTTCTTTTCATTTTGAAATATCATGGTTATAGACAATACCAGGACATCACGATGCCCCTAATTGACACAATAACAATATTTCTTTCTTTTTTTTTATATATAATGATTATAGTCAATTCCATACCCCTAATGGATAACATAGCTTCCGCACTGCATCTTGCAGCCGTGTATGGAACACCGTTAGTCCAAAATTAAAACTCACCAAATGCCAAATGTTAGTAAAACACAAGCAATGGTGATTATATATAAAACGGTGATACTTGGTTGATAACTGGCCGTCGCATGAGTAAAGCACTGCACTGTGTTCATTTAGATGCGAGAAGCTCATGATCCAGTGTTTTCAGTGTCTCAGAGCAGCTAAATGCTGCTCCACATCAACTCCATATATGCTGTGGGTTTGGGTCACTTGTAAAATACATTTAAAAAGCAAAATATGACAACCGTATGCCTATCTGTAACGAGAATCATTTATCTTTTGTCAACAAAAGATAAACGTTTCCAAATTTTCCACCAAAATAAAAGCTATATAGTTAAACATTTGAAAGCAAAAAACTTAAGCCATACTTGAATATTTATATGACTTATTGAATAGAAATATAACTGTTGTTCTGTTAATTTATTATTATTAAATATAATTTTTTTATGTTGGAGTACAACAGAATTATTAGTAATATATACAAGTAATATATTTCTTTAGTGATTTGTTCATTTTTTATTTTATTTTAATATATAAACAAGAATAAAACAAGAATAATAGTAAGTATTTTTAATACTATTATATAGTCATATTGAACAAGGAAAAACAAGTTTTCCTTCTTTTTGTCCTTAGATGATCACATGCCTAGATATAGCATGTGCTCTATATAATTAAATATAAATATATTTTCATTCTGAATATGAATAATCTTCTATTTTGAGGTGTGAATGAATTATAATTTACAGAGTATGTATTTAGACTGCCATCTTCTGGTCAATTTAGAATCTGGAGTTTAATTTTGACTCACTTCTCCCAACTTAATTTGTAGAGACAACTATAAGTAAGCTATTCATACACTGATTTCCGATTCTATTGCAGTCTCACATGATTGCTTTCTGCTTGTTTTATCATCGCGACCAGCGTGACATTGGCTAAACCAATGGCAGACGTCCACTGGCTTACCTTTACATCATAGAAGACGATGTCTCCAAGTGTTTTGTAAACCCGGACATAGTACAGGGCTTCCTCATCATACTGCAGGGGTGAGGGGCACAGGGACAGGGCTTTCAGAAAGTGGTGCTCTGCCATTTCAAACTGACCCAGACAATGGTACAATGTGGCGAGGCGATGGAATGCCACCCGCTCATTTAAATCATCAGCTGTGAGAAAATACACAGATGAAGGGGAAGACTGTTTTTGGCTGTGTACTGTCATGAACATGAGTTTACCACGTGCGCTTTATTCTCAAAACAGACTAAATATTTGGCAGAAAGCCACAATCTGTGAAGGATCATAAATCAATATAATACAATGAATAACTTGGATTTAGAAAAGTCACAACAAAAGCCACAGCTCTACATAACAGGGTTTAAGGGGAAAATGTTGCCAGACTGTTATGAATGTACACATTATATTGTACAAATTAAACATACAAAACTGTAGAGTACTTGAGTGTGTGCACATGTGTTAACCTACCCAGACTCAAGCTAATGTCTAATGCAGTTCGAGCATACTCAATGGCCTCTGAACACTGTCCCAGCTGCAGCAGGAGCTCTGAAAGCTTATTACACAGCCTAAGCTGAGAGCGCACACTGCTCGTCTTCACCGCGATGGGAAGGGCTCGGTCCTTATGAACACAGAGATACAAACGTTCACAGCACACAGACAAACAAACTGAAGGATTATGATTGGGATTAACGTTTTCGAATAAAAAAAAATACTGTAATAAAGGGAATAACAGGGACCTGACAGTCACAGAGTGCAATAACAACACAGTGCGAAAGACTTCCCTCTTCGTCAACAACATGTATATGACCTACCCTGTAAAAGCAGATGGCTTTCTCCCTGTCCTGTGAACTGTTGAAGAACACATCTCCAGCTGCCTCCAACATCTCCAGGGTGAAGAGTGTGTCTCCTGTGCTCAAAGCCATGTCCTGGGCTACCTGTTACATAGAGAACAGACCTTTAATTCACCTCTAAAGCAAATGTCCAGCAGCATCATATTTGAAATGCAATTTTGGGATGGCATGCTGTCCCTGGTACTTACCCACAGACAGACAGACAGACAGACATACAGACAGACACACACACACACACACTTTCTTCTTTTATTTGGATCCACAAGACAAGAAACAAAAACGGAATCCAAATACCTTGGGAAGTCAGTTTGCAAGATGACAGGTACACATGGCTAACATACATTCACAAGTCCTTATATTTATAACGTTTAATACTCAAGGATAGACAAAACATCTTCGTTTCGGCGTTTCTCCAGAGAAAATGAAGTTATGCCTATCCTCAAAGTGTTTTGAATCCAAGGTCTTTCCTACCAGTCTGTAGGGCGTCTTTAAACACGCTCTTTATAGTTGTTATAAGGCACATTGTAAAAAGTAGTAGCCTTAAAGGAACACTCCACTATTTTTGAAAATAGGCCCCTACACTCTAAAAAATGCTGGGTTAAATACAACCCAGTGCTGGGTAAAATAGGGACAAACCCAGC